GGCAGTGGCGAGGGAGGGCGTGGGGGGTGGGGGGAAGAGAAGGGGGAGGAGCAAGGGGATGGCAGACTCAGGGGATGGGGTGGGAAGGCATGGAGAGGGCCTGTGGCAGAGCCAAGGGTTGAGCAGTGAGCACCCCCCCCCCGGCACACTGGAAAGTTGGCGCCTGTAGCTCCAGCCCCGGAGTCGGTGCCTATACAAGGAGCCGCATATTAACGTCTGAAGAGCCGCATGTGGCATGAACAATGGGCTACTAAAGGAGATATTTTGTAGCCCAGACCTCTATTTCATTAGACAGTAAAACAATGCTGATTTCAGTAGCCAGATCTTGAAGACCACGGCACTGCTATTTAGCTTTTAATAGAGCCTTTGTGACTGCGTCTGAGCGCGGACAAAGAAAGGTGATCCATTTCACCCACAAGCCTACCTCGGCATCAGGTTCTTCAACCCCCTCTGTGTCCAGCTGTTCATCAGCACTATCAAGACAAAATGGGTTTACAATGAAAACATGACGGCACATGGACTCAGGCTAGGAAGCTGGGCTGCTGCTTAGATTTTCAGCGCCATCACCAGAGTTGAGACGAGAACCAGAGGGTATCTACTAACGTACCACATCAGAGGAGGGCTCTTTATTCTCCAGTTAGCAGACAGGGAACTTCAGAAGACTACTTCAGAGGTACAACTGAAACAGCACTAAGGCCTTGTCTCCACTAGAAGGAGAAGGGTCTGTTGCTACAGCAACAGCCAGCAAGGGAGCATCTGGACATGTAGTAGCCGCAGTGATAGCTGAAGGCAGGTAGGGTTTGAATAGGTTTTCGTGACATGGTCAACAGTTTAGCGGCAGTACAGAGGCACCATTACTGGCTACTGCTGTACCAGGCAACCTTATGTTCTCAGTACAGATGCACCTACGTTGACAGAGCAATATGGAGTATTGGCTATCATGTTAAGCGCTCCCAAAGACTATGAACAGTGAGCCGCCCAAAGGCGGTGATCTTTACAATCCAGATCCCAAAGTATGCTTAAAGCCTGACATACCATGCTCTGTAAATCCTAAAACCCAGCAAGGTCCATTTCACTGAACTTATCTGATCTCCCTGGGGCACCCAAAAGGTACATTGGCCAGCTGCAGCTGCACAACCAGGAGAGGTTAGAGGCACAGAAGGCTTTTAAAAAGAAGCCTCAAGACTTGTTGAGGATTGTGTACATGAACTGTTGGCGAGTTCATCCAGGCAGCCAAGGGGCAAGACAGGATATTCACTTGATTCAACTAGCTTCATGGAGTTCCTGCATCATTTCAGTGGTGCAAAGGGTAACAAGCGATATGCTGAATTCAGCCGAGGTGTAATTCTACTGGAGCAGTAAGAGATTATTAATAAATAATAATAATATATTGAGATATACCTATCTCCTAGAACTGGAAAGGACTTTGAAAGGTCATTGAGTCCAGCCCCCTGCCTTCACTAGCAGGATGAAGTACTGATTTTGCCTCAGATCCCCAAGTGGCCCCCTCAAGGACTGAACTCACAACTTTGGGTTTAGCAGGCCAATGCTCAAACCACTGAGCTGTCTCTCCCCCCCATTCTATAAATTATTCTAGGATTAGTTTTTATTGACCAGGGTCTCTGATCCAGGTTTCTAGTTGCCTACCTAAAATGTAAGGTCCTTTCATCCATGTAGACCAGCCTGTGTAAATTTGTAGGTCATCAGAATTCAAATGCTACATTTAATCCCTTTAAGGCTGCTCTTCTGAACTTCGTCCTTGTATGCCCCCAGGAAGCCACATCTTCCCTTTTCATATGAAACCCCACAAGCGCCAGCAACTGCAGCTTCAGCCATCAGTAACTCTGCCCATTAGATGTTTTACTCTAGGCGGTCACAGACCATTAATGCTTTGGAATGATAAGTGGCTGCATCAGCTAAATGTAATAAACAGTACTGGGGAACTGGGTCACAGGACAAACACCCAATGCAGCACATGAAAAGCCCAAGAGAGGGCTGGAAAGAAAAAACACAGAATTTTGGATCAGATCCTTAAAGGTTCCATTCCACCTCACCCCACTTCCCACGAGTCACCGGTTCGTTAACCTTTCAATTTAATTAGCTGTGATGGGGTATATAAAACCCACACTGGAACTGAAGGGAAGGAGCAACTCTGGACACAGGAGACTCCCACCCAGCCACACCTGCAGAGCTGGTTTCAGCTGGAGGTTGGCCCCAGGCATCTCAGAAGGCACCTGAGAGGGCAGGGAGAGAGAGACCCACCTTGAGAGCCCCCTGGAGAAGGGTGCTGCAGAAACCTTCTACTGGAAGGGGAAAAAAACTGAGCTGATGGTTCAATTATCTTTTCCTTTACTACTGTGAGGCAAATAAGACTTTGGCAAGAGCATGGGTGGGAGGAAGCAGCCCAGCGAGGCAGCTGTAAGGCAACCCGTAAGGTTGAGTTGGGTGCTGACATTGGTACCTCTTACAGGGTCCTGGGCTGGAACCCAGTGGCGCAGAAGGACCTGGGCTCCCCTCTACCAACCCCCCTCATTCAGAAGGGCATGAAAAGCTTCACTGCTAGACTCCCCCTTGGAGGGAGGGAGGGAGGAAAGAAAGGGTGATTAGTTTTGGAAACCCCTGGTTGGGATTGCACACCCGCAGGGATCAATAGGCAGACCCCGTATCTTCCCTGCGGAGAGAGAAGAGGGATTGGTGACCTGACCGGAGGATTGGGTCAACCGCCATCAAAAGACGGAACCATGGGGTGCGATGGGGGCCCAGGGGAAAGAGGCATGGCGAGCAGAGGCCACTAGGCAACGCAACCCACAAGCACCGTCCATCACGTTATTTGGCAAATGTCATTTTCTAACGCTCACGGGCTTAGAAGATTACTGGGGAAGAATAATAATGACTGATAAGACTAGCCAAAATTATTATGTTGAAACTGTTTGATAGAAAGTTGGTTTTTCAATTAACAATTGTTTTTTTGCTGCTGCTAACAAAAATACAAACAAACAAAACCCCCAAATGCCTGTAAACAGAAATATTTCAGCCACAAACAAATAATTTAGTTTTTGGCCAACTTTTTTCAGTAAACCCCAAATTCTCTGTGCAAAATTTAGATGAAAATTTGATTTTTTTTGTTTTTGTTTTTAAGTTTTCTGTGGGGAACCTCTCCTCGCATTTTCTGACCATTTCTAATGATTAAAAACCAAAAAAACTTTGCACATTAAGGGAGCCTTTCATCCAAGTGCTGTATTAACATTAGTTAAGCCCCACAATACCCCTGGGGTGAGATAAGCATCATGCCCATTTTACAAGATTGGTAAAGAGAGGTTAAGTACTTTTCCCAAAGTTGCACAATGAATTGATGGCAGAGTTCAGAATGGAACCCAGAAGTCCTGCCTACTGGCCCTCTTCTCTAACCACTCAACAAAAATATTAACTTTTCAGTTAGCTATGAAGTGAACAAAAGGATAAAAAACAATGCTTACTTAGTGTCTTCAGCTGTTTCAGGCGGCTGTATTACTTGTAGGGGGGCTGGGGATTTCTAAAAAATAAATAAAAGAAAATAAAAAAAATCTGCAATGTCATACATGTATTTCACACTTAATCCCTACAGTGTACTACTATGGATTTATTGCTCATCCAGGAAATACATAGGCAGGTATATTACACTGACATTTCTACACACTAAGCAAACGATGAACAACCAGCATAGTGCTAAAGTATGGGCATTCATGTTGATTTAATCGGATTATTTTCCTGTTCAATTACCATCTATAACATTTTGTGAATTATTCAATTCATCTGCTAACTTAATCCTGCAAAATGTACCCAGATGTGCTTAACTGTAAGCAGTCAAAAAGTACTAGTCAAGTGCTTAAAGTTAAGCACTTGTGCATCTGCTTGCAGAATTGAAGCCAGCTTCAGGCACAGAATTTCATACGGCTTCTAAAAAAAATCCACACTTCTAACAATGCTCATGATGAAATATACAATTGATTGCTTTACCCATGTGGCTCATCAGCACCACCCAGTGAGAGCTTGGCTTAAGTCACCCATTTTTTATAGCAACCCCACAAGCTATTACCCAAGCCTGACTCTTTCCGGAAGCCTGCCTCTCAATTAATCTGGATTAAAAAACAAAACAAAACAAAACAAAACAAAAAACCTCCTGTGCAGAGCACCAGTTGTAGAAATAGTACGCTGTAACTATTGATTAGATTAGTATCTTATTCTTCAGTCAAAAATATTTTGCCTTCCATTCAAGGCCCTCTAAGTGGTTTACAGACACCTCTGCAAGACAGGCAGGTACCATTGTTATTAGCCACTTTACAGAGGTGGATTCCAGATTGCAGCTCGTCTGGACAGATCCGAGGCTAGCTTTAATCTCGCTAGCTCAGGGAATGGAGCAGTGAACCTGTGGCTGCGTGGGCAGCACAAGCCCACCTAGAACCCTGTGTAATCACTCGGGCAACTAACCCACACTAAAGTCTGTGCTGCTGCGGCTTCGCTGCTCCGTCACCCGAGCTAGCTAGATTAAAGCTAGCGCAGGTATGTCCACAAGCCGCAATCGCAGGGGGTGACAGACACATGCGAAGGAACAGAGAGGGAACAGGACTTGTTATGTCTAAAATCTTGCACCTTGGCAGGGGGGTAGATCAGATCAGATCTAATCTAACCCTCTGGTTCTGGGATTCTATGAAACTTAGATTCTGAGATCTTCAGGGAAGGGCCCACTCTAGTGACCAACAGGTTGGGAGCTGGGGGTTAGGGAACGTTCACGCACAGTCACTGCTGCACTTCCTCCTTCAGTCTACTACACCCACACACCCCACACCTACTGCATGCACGGGCAGACCCTGCAAAAATACATTCCCTAATGAAGGCCCTATTTTGAAAACAAAAACCCAAACAAGACTCCAAGAGGAACAAGGTGAATTTTTAAATGGGTTCTATTGATGGAAGCAGTACAACAACTATTGCATCTTCTAGACGAAGAAACCCTAAAAATCAGCTCCACGCCAATAGCTATGAAAGCCAAAGTGGCTGACATGAACCAACTAAATCTTTCTTAAATCCCTATGGTCCAGATCCTCAGATGCATCCATTTATACCAGCTGAGGATGAGGCCCTCTGAAAATAGGGAGAAGATTTTTTCAAAGGACTATCAATGTGGTATATAGACTTTTGCGATGGGATTCTCCTCTGTTGCAGCTAAACAAGTCATCCATGTCACTTTAAAATGTAAAGAAGAAACACACATTAGGAAAGAATGGCTTAGTGTTACTGTTTATGTTGACACAAGAGAAAGCTTTAATTTTTTATTTTTTTTTTAAAAAGCAGGCGCATTCAAAAAGAAGCAGGAGGTTTAAAAATAGTTTAATTTGGACAGAAACGGCACAAGCTGGTTAGCAGAATTAAAGCAATGAACTCACCTGGGAAGATAAACTGTTGTCTATGTTGAATGTAGTAGGCAGCTTTATATATAAAAAAAGGACAGCAAAAAATCACCAGGAAATAATAAAACAAACAAGTTAAGTGTGTCAAGAGATAGCATCAGCAAATGCCCCTACGCATTCAGTGAATTAGTCCCAACTCATTGTTTGAGCAACAGATTAGTAGATTAATTACCAGCCAGATCAGTGGGTGGATTTCAGCACATGCATGTTTGGAAGACTGAATAGGATGACAGATGAAATCAAATCAGATGAAAGCTGAGTTACTGATCGTGAATGTGGCCAGATGGGGAGACGAAGAACACGGTGGTTCGGCCCTAAGCTGGTATACATTGGCACACCAATGATAATACTAAACCTTCTATAGCTTTTGTCATCAGTACACCTCAAAGTGCTTTACAAAAGGAGGTTGTGTCATTGTCCCCATTTTACAGATGGGGAAACTGAGATGAAGTGACTTATGTTCTTATGGCTGTCTGCTAGGCCACATTGCCCTTCCCTTGTTTTCAATTGAGCTCTGCCAACTTACACCAGCTGAGGATCTGGCCCATTCACATCTCTTTTTGTTAATTTTATTCCAATGAATTGACAGATAGGTTTCTGGTTTGTGTAATCAAATCATGCTTCTTCTCCATTTCATGTCTTGGCTATCACAACAGACTGTGCATTTAAAACAGCAACTTCTATTGACAGATCAAAGACTTGACAGAAAAATGCAGCTCTCTCTACAGTAAAAACACAACGGCTATTTTAACAGCACCAAGTAAGATTTCCAAGCAGAAGGAATGAAATTTGACCCCAACAAAGAAGTTTGCTGACTGTGCAATCCTGGCTCTTGTCTGTATTCCTTACTCATGCAAGAAGTCCCCCTGACTTCATGCTACTCATTGCAGAGTGTGTTTTGTAACACGCTCCTGTAATGCAAACACTTCCCACCACAGTTGCCTGACTCGGCCATTTCAAAAATCCTCCTAGGAGGGGACTCATGATGAACAATGCGCATGACCAAAGCACGTTTTTGTCCTGGTTTTTTTTATTTCCACTCTTCATTCCATCAATCAAGTTGCTCATGATTTCAAGACACACACACACACACACACACACACACACACAGGAGAATGTCACTGAATTTTCATATGCTCTTTCAGAAGAGGGAAATTTGGAAAGATGAGACCACTGAAGACATGTAAACTTCTCTCAGTGAACTTTGTTCCAGAGTAAGTAGTTTTACTTTCAACAACTTTTAAAACCATACGCATTTCAGACAGCATGAACCAAGGCAGAGAGGCACAAGATGTGCAAGTCAGGGTAGCTTTTCTCCTTCTTTGATCTCAGCTTCCCAGGAGCTTTCTGCCTCTCCCCCCAAAGCTGCCTAGAGATTGTCCTACTGCAACCAGGATGCAATAAAAATGGAGCTCAAGTGCAGATACCAATTCTTTCCCTCTGTTTCACATGAGTGGAGGGGACACCAGACTATCGGCTTATAGGTGGACAGTGTGGAGGGAGTGACACCTTTGCACATGTGTCACTCTCCCAAGAACCCAGCAGGCCATAGGGGAGCTCTTGGGGAGAAGGGAGAACACCCAGGGAGTAGCTGCTCCATGGAAATAAAGCATGCTTCCCATTAGAAACCAGATCAGGTGTGAACACTGCTGGAGGCAGGGTTTCCACAGACTCTCCCGTGCAGCTGCTGCTGAATATATGTGAGGGGGAGTCGGCCAATGGCAGCACAGCTCCCGAGGTACAGCAGAATGGCTATGCAAAGGCCCAGAGTCTTCATTGACCTTGGAAGTTGTGCCAGGCTGTGGGGACTGAACTTCCTGTGCAAGGGAGGAGAGGGAAGTCCATCCTGCTCCCCAAGTGGAACTCTGCGTCAAAAACACATGCCTGCTAAGTGGGGAAACAGCCTGTTTATGGGGGAGTAGACCCTTACTCTGGATCAAATGGCTGCAGATCATGAGAAGTGTTGCCCGTACCTTATATCATCTAGAAACCAAATGCACAAGTCAAGAAAGCAAAGCACTGAAGGTCTTCCACATGGCAATCAATTTCCTGTCTTCCCCCTAAATTACTGGGCCAAGAGCTATTTTATCAGCAGTTGGTTCTCTGCCTGGTCACAATTAGCTGATGAGCGCCCACCCTCCATCCCAATGCAAAGACCAACCAGGACAGAAATCCCCTCCATTTATAGAGCCCCTGCAGGACTTGGAAGCTCTTTGTAAAACAGGCCAGGTTCTGGTTGATACCTAAGAGCAGGAGTTATGGACCCCAAAATGGGAACAAGCACACTGTAGAAGCCAGCTTGATACAGGCCTGTATCCTAGCCAAGACAGCCTCAGGCAGTAGAAGCGGTGCTATTCTGCACAGGGAGGGCTGTGCACGAACGTCCTTGCTGGGTTACGATAATACATAGGCCATGCCCTTGGCCACCAGGGCATTGCCCACGAAGTTGGGAAGTCTGACATTCCACAGTTCTCCTGAAACAAATCAGTTACCTGGAAAGTGAAACCGGCAGTCGCGCTGGCCCATGGGGGAGGGATTTGGGGGAGTCGTTGCGCTGGGAGGATTGGAAGACTGGAAAGGTGCTGGAGAAGATGGCGTGGAGGAGGTTGTAGAAGATGGATTACTGCTGGAGTCTAGATGGTTTATTGCTGGGGGATGATCCTGCAAAAGCAACAAAAGCCACTGGGTGATTTTTGCTGAGGAAAGGGAGACGCTTATTGATGGGTCACCAACTTTCCCCAAAGCAGATCAGCAAATCACTGTTGCTGTGTGCAAACAGCAAGGAAGTAGGCTCTTCCCATGAGATTTATGGACAGGAGGCTGAAAAGCAGCAGATGGTCTCAGCATCAATGGGAATGTGGCACCCAAAGCAGCTTTGAAATCTCAGCATAAGACCTTAGTGCTGCTCCCACTCAATGACTTCAGGCGAAGCAGGATCGGACACTAGGTGGTGTTCTGAGGGATCGCAGCCAAAATTAATAGTGTGGAGTTCTTTATACAGAGAGTGAAAAACAAAAAAGGGGAGCGGGGCCACCACACTCTTCAGGTGAACGGGAGGAATTCGTTACCTGTAGTCTAATCTAGTCGAAAATTACCTAGACACAGCAAGACCCTGTTAGTAGGTAGCAGACAGGGATGTTTTTGGGGGGGATGGATTCTTAAAAGCTACGAGCACCTGCACATCCCATTGGAGTCTGTGGATGCTCAACACTACTGAAAGTTAGGCCCGTGGGATTTCTAGAGCATCTTTGTTTTGCTTCTGGTTGGGGGACAAAACAAACCAAAGCAATAAATACATCTACATCCAAGTCCCTTCCCCGCCCACTGAACCATTCTTCTTTTATGGTTTACAAACCATCCCAGTTCAAGACATCCTCGACCCTCGTCACACAGTTCAATTGCGTGCACCTTTGCTAAGTCAGTTTCTCAAACGTGCTGTGCAGGTTTGTTTGTAAGGTGCCTCCCTCTCGGTTCCAATTGTGAATGAGAAATGCAGTGGTCACGCCTGGGCATTGGGCAAACGGCAAGGTAACGGTCACCAGCTCATTTGTCATTTCCCTGCCCAGCGGTGGAAGCACTCATCGCTTGAGCCTTCAAACCAGCAGTTCTCACACTATCCCTTCCCTCCCATTTCACTGGGGGCTTGCTGGGACCCTGCCCCCATTTAGCACCATGGAAAGGGCAGGTTTGTCACGACTCTGGCATCTACTCCCAATCCTCCACGGGTCACACCCCCCAAACTGGGAACCCCTCTGAAATTCACTATGGGAAACAACCCTGCACTGGGTGGAGATGGACAGCTGGTCTAATACAGCTTTTCCCTTAGAACTGGATGGAAAAGAGGTTTTTATTCCTTGGAAAGTTGACTTCTCAGAAAAATATCAACAACTGAAATATCTGAACATAAAAATCACATCTCAGTGCTTCATGGGAGTTATAATCTGGGTACCCGAGGTTCCCATTCTCCTCTACAGGCTGGGCTCTCTGGCCAGACTACAGCTCCCAGAATGGTCCACTTTCACCCCTCTTGGTTAGGGGCAGTGGTGAGTCATAGGATCCCCTGGCCACGGTCCATCAAAGGAAAGGCAGTCTGGCCAGAGAGCCCGGCCCATGGAGGAAAGTAGGAGCATAAGACATCCAAGCGACAATTCGCGGGAGATGCTATTTGGAACCAAAATATTTCAGGTTTTGGTTGAAAATTGAGAAGTTTTTGGTTTCTGAGCCTTCACTATTTCAACAAAATCTCAGTTTTCTGCAGGAAACAGACTTGTTCACAACAATTTGTTTGATCAAAAAACCCAATTTTCCATCAAGCTACCATTGTGACTGAAAATTTGTGACCCGTGGTCTTTCCCACTCAATTGCTTTGGTTCTACCCTGTTTCCCCGAAAATAAGACAGTGTCTTATATTAATTTTTGCTCCCAAAGATGCGCTAGGTATTATTTTCAGGGGATGTCTTATTTTTCAATGAAGAAGAATACGGTACACATCGGTGGATGCCTTATTATCGGGGAGGTCTTATTATCGGGGGGATGCCTTATATTACAACGAGAGGCAAAACTGTAAGTAGGCCTTATTTTCGGAGGATGTCTTATTTTCGGGGAAACAGGG